TGGTATGTTTCTTTTTGTTGTAAAAAGATGAGGTACCTCCCGATTTTGTTGAGGTACATGTTCTTATTATTTTCAAATATGTCTTTTTTCAGAAGAAACACTCAACTTTTGATAACACAGTTGCCACAAAGTCAGAAAGATGACTTATTTCAGGGATGAATCTTCAGAGGAGGCTAATTTTTGTCGTTAATACAATTTAAGTATTCCTCTCTTTAGATTAGGGATAACAAACTTGGCTGTTAAATTCAGGAATTACTCTTCGTTGCCAATCTCTCTCCCCAAACTAAAATATTACATATATGGAAGTAGTAACTTAAAGTTTTTGGTATCGAGGTCATTCTAAGGCACTGAGATTCGGACTTTGGTATGTATAGGATTCGTTTTCCATGCACTAAGATTTAATTATTGTTTAATTTATTGGTTTTTAGGTTTCTTTCCATGCTCTGATGCGTTTTCGGGTGTGCCAATGGAAGCTTGCATCACTCTTTACTCCAAGCGTAAGTATGCTCTGCATTAGCTTCTTCTGTTCCATTGGTTATTATGGGTTTTAACTTTTGAGAAATATACAACAATTTAAAACCAGGTTTTGTTGTTGATTGGTTCGGTTTGTATACCATATTTTGCTAAATACATATGACCATAAATAAGACCAAAGAAGCTGGGTTAGCTCCTTTGCCAGCTAGGTTGACTTCGTCTCCTCCCCGTCTTGCGGATTTCCGTTATTCAACGGGTATATTTGAGAAGTATACGGTACTAAAACCACAACCATTGATCTTAGCTTGATCGGTTCTTCCCTAGGATTTATACATAAAAGTAAATTGTTTTGTTTAATAATTTTCCATTGCATGAACTTTCGAGACAACAAGTGGACATGAGTGTAATGTCATCAAAAGTCAAATCAAACACTGTGAGGAACATAATAGACAACGTTGGCTTCTTTCGCAGCTGCTCAACGTTGTCTCTCCCGATGGTCCCAACACTCTCTTCTTCTTTTTTTGTCAACATTCAAACGTTGTTTAAAATAAATAAAAATGTTTAACCTTAATCATCTTTCTAGATCTTTAAATGCCTAAAACTTCAACTTAATCAGTCAACAATCCGTCACGTTAATGATTTTGAAAGGAAGACTTTTGTTTTGTTTCGGTTAGTTTTGTTTGTTTAGTATTTTAATCACAAGATAACTCTAATTTCCCATTAGAGTTGTGTTAATTGTGTTGATTATGATTTGGCGTTCCAATTCTGATATTATTTTTATGTTGTAAATCTTAAACTGTTACGTTATTGTTCTATCTTCCTATGTGAGAAAAAAGTAAAATGTTTTAAAATTTTGACATGGATAATAATATAATTGTAAATCTATAATAATTATATTATCATTTTATTTATATTTTTCAAAAAGAAATATATTTATCTTAATAGATTTAATATGATAATGTCAAATATAGTTATAAATCTAAAAGAGTTATGTTATTATCCCATCCTTTTATGAGAAAAAAGCAGATATTCTCTTAAACTTTTAAATTAACGTGGATAATAATAAATAAATGATAATTTTACTAATATGATAATGATTCGGTTTTAATCTTACCAAAAAACAAATAATGATTCTGTTTTAAAAATATATAAATTTTCTTTGTTTAGTTGTAGACCCTGTTCTAAAAATCCCCGCCTAGACCCGATTACTCCCCGCTTAATCGCTAGGCCCACCCTGTCCGCCTCGATTAATGACTAATCCCTTAAAGAAATCAGTCACCCGATTACTCTCCGCCTAATCCGATTATTCCCCGCCTAATCCGATTATTCCCTGCCTAATCTTACATACCCCGATTATTTTTAGATTGCCAGTATAAAAAAACTTTTTATTTTTGTTATTCAATCATTTGAATTGGGAGTTTGTAATGTTTTACAATAATTTATGTTCATATTTTAATAAAAATCATAAATATTTGTCTCAAAAATACATTTTTATGTGTTTACTGCAATTTTAAAAATAATATTGGATTAATATGTTTTAAAAATATTAAAATAACCCTAAAACTAATCCCCGATTAATCCCCGATTTTAATCCGATTTTCCGATTAATCGCTAGGCCCATGCCGAGCGCCCGACTAGCGCCTAGCGATTTTTCAAACAAGGGTTGTAGATATTGTCATATAAAAAATTCTTAGATCCTCCACTGCCTTAATTTTATGTAAATACCTTGCTTGATATTTAATTTTGATTTGATATCATAACTAATCCTTGCTTTTTTTTTTCGGCACTAACAATTGAATTTTTTATACTGCCATTTAATTCTTGCATAAAAAATAATAATTAATAGTAGTGTTTATTATGAATGCAGGTTTGTTTTCCATAAAAACTAGATTGGATTTATGGAAGCACGTCATTGTTTCCAGTGCGAGGAAACAAATGTCGTATCACTGCTGTTGTGGCTCTTTAGTACTTTCGTTTCTGTTTATGGCTTTGCTTCGGTTGTATGGTTAGTCATCAATCATTGATCTTCTCATTGTTTGAATATTGTTGCATAGGAAAAATCTTCCTTTTTTATGAATCTTTCAAAGTTGGGTCCATGCTATTCTCAGTGATTGATTACGTTTATTGAATATTTGTGTGCTTCCTCTGCTGATATTCTAATTCATGCTTTATTCGTCGTCTTTGATACACTCTGATTAACCATTATAGACCTCTAGAGTCTAATTTGCAATATTAATGCAAGTCTCTTTAACTTACGGATTATGAAGAGCATCCTAAGATCGTTTAATTTGATTCAGGCTTTATGTGGCTAATGTTTGGTCTTGGATGTGAATTAGTCTATCATGTTTCTTGGAAGGTAGGAAGCAATCTTGATGTTTACCAAAATCCAATGTGCTCTTTTGTAGCTCAGTTTTGAAATATGTACTAATTATTGTAGAGGGAACCCGAAACAAAGAGACCATATGTATGATTTTATATGCGAAGAGAAGCTCCGAATTTGAAATCGTCTCCACTCCGGTGATATGTGGCCATGGTGTGAAGGAGTCTGGAACCATGGTTATTTCAGATTCGGACATAACCGTAATTGTTAAACTAATAAAAATAAGATCAAACGTACCGGATTGATGAGAATTTTTGGTGTTCTTCGTCATGTTCTTCGTCGTATGGATCTAACAAAACAAAAAAAATATATATACCCCAGAATTTTTTTTTGTTTGTTAATAGAGAGAACCCACCAATTTTGTAGCGTTGACTGTGACATCGAATTGTTTGTCGGATGAATATAAGTCTCTAATCCGGAGACTGAAGTTGAACCCTTACAAAAACATATATTCATAGCATAAAATTCATAAATAAAAGGTAGAGCATCACATAGCTTTTTCTTCAAAGCCAACACATCTCTCTTTGTAGCCGAATTACTCTCCAGTTTGGTATATACTCAAATTTTCCAATGACTTCCTTCTCGAACCTGGAGCGTTTTTGCTTTGCCGGATATTTTTAGGATATGGCTCTTATGTATCTCTTGTGAGTCACTTGATATGTTGTTTAGGTAAAACTTTTGGTTTGAAAGAGAATGATCTACGACAAGCATAATCGGTTATTTGTTATATATGTGACCATGTTCATATTGCTTTCTCCACAAGCAATTTTCCAGTTTTGTAGCATTCAATATTTAAATTTAAAAGCTTCAATACGTTGTATACATGTGTATGTATGTACATATATGAATTATTCTCAGTTGCACATAGTGGTTTCTAAGGGATAGATACTTGCTCTCTGTAATCCTCTCATTTTTAGTACCTATCTTCAGTGTTTACTTTGCTAAGAGCTTCTTGATAGGCATACATCTTTGCAATCTCAGATCAATATACTACAAATACATATACGATACAGTTAAGAAAATGATATTTCTCTTACAACTTTTTATATGGGTTTTATAAACAAGAGATCAACTGAAGGGTTACGCAGCGACCATTGGCGAAGGTAGAGACAAAGATACTACAATAGGGACGATAAATATGACACGATATATACAAAAGAGATGCCTGTTTCTATACCATTGAAATTTTACGTACATAACTACTTCAAAGAGCAAGATGACTTACTTGATAGGTAAGAGATATGGTAAGAGATTATATTTTTCAATTATTTGTTTCCAACTACGAAAAACTCCAGTGACATACAATCTAAAAGCATGAATATGTCATAAAATCAAGAATACAACAAAAACCAGGAAGATGGGCCCAAATTAAAGTCCGAAACTGGACGTGGGGAACCCACAGACAGTGGCGGTCGGAGCGTTACAAATATGAAAGAAACGAGGAAGCGTGAATATGTCATAAAACCAAGAGTACTACAAAACCAAGAAGATGTGCTCAAAGAACGAAAATGGACGTGGGAACCCACAGACAGTGGCGGTCGTGGCATTACAAATATGAAAGAAACGAGTAAGCATGAATATGTCATAAAATCAAGAGTACGACAAAACAAAGAAGATGGGCCTAAAGACCGAAACTGGACGTGGGGAGCCCACGGACAGTGGCGGTCGGGGCGTTGCTAATATGAAAGAAACGAGTAAGCATAAATATGTCATAAAATCAAGAGTACGACAAAACAAAGAAGATGGGCCTAAAGACCGAGACTGGACGTGGGAACCCATGGACAGTGGCGGTCGGGGCGTTGCTAATATATTGTTGGTTTAAATATATAGATTTTTTATATTTAATTCTATTATATATATCAAGATATAAACACTAATAATTGTTTGTGATTCAAAAACACTATTAATTGTTGATTACTAATAATATATATCAAAAGTTATAGCGTTTTACCATAATTCTATATTAATGTCGTTATAAAAATTAGACTCTTGACAAAATTAATTCAATAAATATCCCTAACTTGATAACCCTAAATATTAATTATTAATTCTGGTCTTAATCAACATACAACCCCGCGCTGGGCGCGGGGACCTCCCCTAGTACAATTATATATGTATTATCTTCTTCATCGTAGGTTTTTTTTTTTCTGTTGGTTTTCTCTTCTTCTTTTTCTTTAACTGAGTTCCAAAAATCCCCAAATCTAATTCTATGAAATTCAATCCAAGACCATTTGAGTTAAGAATCGAAATCAGAGTTTGGGAAATAGTTAATCTCGATTAAAATTCCTTCAATTTCGGCAAAATTTCTCTTGAAATCTGATTCTTAGATTCATGAAAAGTTTTTAAATTTTGAAATCGTCGTATGAACCTGTTTTACGATCTAAGCTATCTGCGGCGGTTACAGTTTCACCACCAGCTCCGGAAGAGAGAGAGAGACAGGGGTCGATGCCGATGAGGCGAGGCGGAGGAGAAAGGACAATCTCGTCGAGATTAGAAAAAAACAAGTGTGAGGATAGTCTCCTCACGAAGCAGCAGCAGCAGCCTCCCGGAGCTGGCCTCGACGAATGTTGCCGTCGTTGAGAAACGAGTAAGTTCCCGATCTGAATTTCGAGACAATTGTGCGTGATTTTTTGATTTGGATCCCAGGATTTGATTATTTAGTAATGTATCTTTGTTTGATTATTGAAAAAAGTGAGGCTTTGATTCTAGATACACCACGTTCAACTAGTGTGTTATGTTTGAATTTTAATATTTGCAATTTGGTTTTATTAGTTGCAACAACGGGAAAAGATTAACAACGAGATTTATTACCATGTCCTTCTTCACATGTAATGCCTTCTGCTTCTCCATGAGATATTGGTGCACCTTCTCTTGTTCCAATTCGGGCTTCTAGATCATCTATCAGATCCTCAAGCTCTAGGTATGGAGGAAGATCCAATCAACCTGCATATTCTATGGAAGGTGATCTGAAAAATGAGGTATGCGTTCTTACTTGGCATTGTGCACTCATGGTCATGCCAATTAGATAGAATTTAATGTCCGTTGTTTCCCATGTTTTAAGAATCCATGCCGGGCTTGCTTGATGAATGTTGATGAGGATTATGGTTCTCTTGCATTGAGATTTAAGAAAATTGTTTGGCTTTACTTTGCCATTGCTTTGATCTAGAGGATAAAATGAACAAGCTTTGGGTCAATGATTCATAGGTTCTGATTTGTTTAGAAAGTATGAAACTTTTTAGCGTGAATTTGTCGGTTATGAAGTTTTGATTTCCGACCTGAGGAAGTAGATTACATTAGTTTCTAGATGAGATTTGATCCGTATGAAAATCTCTTAGGCATTAAGTAGGAATCAAGAAGTCAGGACTAAGTCCCATTCATGCTTGTCTTAAGCTATGATCGCCCTCCATGTCACAAAATTGTTGCATTTTGGGTTTTCAAAGCTACCATTCAGCTCTTTTAAAATTCAGCCTAGCCATTGGCCAGCAATGGTTTCACTTTTTCCTTTAGTCTAGGACCTTTCTCTAGGCTTCTTGTTTCATTCATTCATCTGCTTGAATTGGCTGGTTTTGGCTTTGCAGTGTTGCTCTGTCAAAGATAGAGAATAAGTGGAAGGAAGAGCTTGATCAAGAACTAGAAAGAAAGCGCACAAGTCAAGTCTTTTTTGTGACAATCATGATTGTACACTGCACGTACTTGTGAATTAAGATTGCATATGACTTATGTTTTTGTATTTCATTTCTGTATTTTGTTGTGTTGTAGATTAAGAACATATTACTACATGTACAACTAGATCCCTTAGGTACAACTGAGAAAATTTTGGTATAACTTGAACTACTTGGTGCAACTACACTATTTGATTGTTCAGATAGTTTTTTTTTTTTTTTTTTTGGTGCAAATGATAAATTTGGATATAACTACGTGTAAAAGTGGATCTTTTGTTTGTGTATGGTAAATACAATATTTAGATTATATTTATGTTCAATTGGTTTTGTAGGTACAACTAGTCTATTTAGATACAACTATGTGTATGGGTTATTTATAAGAAAGTACAACTAGATCACTTAGGTACAACTGAGATAATTAAAAATAATATTTAAAAAAAAAATATTTAAAATAAATTTAAAAAAAATAAATAAATATGATCCACGTAAGCATCATTTTTGGCGGCGGGATATTATTTTTAAATCATCACACGTGTGGTAAAGTGGGCCAATGACAGCAGGATATTAATAAAAAAATTGTTTATTTTAAACATAGTTGTACTAGTTGTACAATTGTACTCTTATATTCATAGTTGAACTTTTGCGAGTTTTGTATATTTCCAGTTGAACTTTAATGAAAATTAATAATTTATAGTTGGACACATGATGTTACACTATTAATTATCATTTAGGATGTTTTCATAATACAATGTTCAGAAAAACTTGGTTTTCACCTCTTTTGCTTCATATGAGGCGATCTTGTACTAAGTCTTCCTTATACTAGAAGGAGTGTTTTCTGTGAAAAAACAAAATTTGTTACAAAATTTATAAATTCTGGTTGTATTTATTTTAAATACTTTATATTTGAAGATGTTTTTAGGGAATTTCTTATATAAATCTTAATTTATAACTTAATAATTTAATAAATCATTACAAATTTGATGTACCTAGTTGAACTAGTTGAACTAATAGTATGTATTAAAAAACGATAAATTCGAATTTTATTTATTTAAAATTGTTTTTTATAGTTCAAGATGTTTTTGAAATTTTTATTAACTCTAATTTATTGTTTCCATAATAGTTAAATACAAATACATATACATTTATGGTCGTAGTTGTACCCAGTCGAACCTAATTGTACGAATACGACAAATAAATACATATAAAATCCGAATAGTGTTCTTGAGATTATAACATTTGGTTGCCCCACAAACGTGATCTCACACGGTAATACGCCCTCCTTTGATTCCATATTCCTGAAAAACTCAATCGCTTATGTGTTTTGGCTTCTTCGACTCTTCCACATCTGACATACAAGTTCAAGAGTACATTGTTGGAATGTAAGTTTCGTGTCAAACCCACTTTGATCATATATACATGAACGCGCTTACCCAATATCAAAGCACCAAGCTTTGCACAAGTAGACAACAAGCTAACGATTGTGAACCCATTAGACTTGAAACCCTTAGAATCCATTTAAGTATAAAGCGCCAAAGCTTCGTTTGGTTTACCGTTTTCTACAACACTATTAATTACAGAATTTCAAGCCACGAAATCTTTCTCAAGCATTTTATCAAACACCTTGTATGCATTAGCTACATCTCCACAATTGGCGTATAAATGAAGCAGAGAGTTCTGAGCATATATCAACAAACCAAACTCACTTCTTATAACAACAGAATGAATCGTCTCTCCCAACTGAACATCCGCCATTTTTGCCACAACTTTTAGAAGAAACGAATATGTATGAGTATCGGGCACAACTTTTCATATATGTATTTTTGTGTATGTAGCTCCGACGATTTAAGGATTGAGATTGGAAAAAGATGGTTTGAGATGAAGGAAGAAGTGAAGCTAAGGCGAAACAGCCAAAGAGGAAGAGAAGAATCGTTGGCGTCGTCCACAAATTTAATTTTTTTGATTTAGTTTCTTTTTATTTTTATTTGTTTCTGTTTTAATTTTAAAAAATATATTAACAATATTCATTAAGGGTATAAAGGAAATATCACAAAGGGAAGTGGCATAGAGACTATAGAATGGCATGCGTGATTCCTTTTTCCGGTTCAGTGGCTTTCCAGCCTGTGACTCCCAAAATTTAGCATTGAACCAAATTGGTATAAGAAAATTTTGACTCAAACTTGAATGATCCAATTATCTTTTATTGGTAATGAAACAACAAGGAAGCTATCAATGAAACATAAACACCAACAAACACTCAAATTCTGGGATTCATATGTTAATTGTTTTCGTATTTATTTTTCGAATCGTGACTGATAATACAACATCATTGACACATGATTCGATCTAGTATAATAGTTAGCCAAAGAATCGTTTTTTAGTAAATAATGAAAAAGGAAATATTTTGGTGAATAGGGCTGCTTAGCTGAAATTTGATTTAGCAACTTGTGGAAGGGATTTGAGAAGAGAAGGCGATGGCCTCCGAAGAGTGTGATTGAGAAGTAGCATCAAAGTGAGAAGTGTTAAAGCTCCTGCTTGATGTGCACTTCCTAGTGAGACCGGAACATAACTCAGAAGCGTTAATACACCTAATGTCACCTACAAAAAGAAACGAAAAAAAACCACATCAATGTTTTTGATTTTGAGTTTCCATGAAAGTTTATGTTGATTGATTTACCTGAACAGCAGTCATTCCCACAGTACTTCCGATCAAAGCTTTAACGGCTGGATGTATGTCTAGCTTCCTTGTGAACCACCACATTGTTCCAATTGCTATTAGCGTTGTGGTTGCAAGAAGGCGATGATCAAGCTGAAATTTAAGTACAGTTTCAGTCTTTTTGAGACTCTTCACGCAAATTGAGAAAGCTTTGTGTCAATGGTGTACCTGAACAGTTGCTGTGTTCTCGAAAAAGTTGCGTAAAAGTGGTTTCATCTCAAATATATTATCTGGGATCCATGTGTCACCCATTTTTGGGAATGTGTTGAATGCACGACCCTACAATTCACAAGCGGAGAGATAAAAATACTAGGCTTCCTTTCTGTAACTAATATCATAGAAGCTCAGATCCAAGTTTGTTAGTTTACTTACAGCATCATTTCCAGCAACAAATGCTCCTGAAATCGTAGTGATACCAACAATCAAGCTTACTGGTAATGCAAGCTTCTTCACTTTAGCTGCTCCCCGAACCCAAGCCAGTGACTCAGCTGGTGGTTCAGGCATAACAACAGAGAGAGCGGTCCAGAAAAGTCCACAATAAATGGCAAAAGCTGAGGTCAGGTGAGCTGCAAGACGGTATGGGCTTACCCTCGGTTGAGAATATTCAGACGGCGGCTCCTACATACAGGACCAAACTTACTGGTTAAACAGCACATAATAACATCTAATAAGAGGATCTACAACAGTTCCTAATCTTTACCTCTAAACCACTTTTAACCATCCACCAACCAATGAGACCTTGTCCAGCACCAAGCGCAAATAAACCAGAGAGCTGAACTCCAAGACGTAGAGTAATATACCCTTTCCGCAGAAAATAAGAAAACGGCAAAGCAAACATGATTCCCAATCCTCTTCCCCACATTCGATGCGAGGAAGGCTTGTGGGTCACTGGATCTATTCCCATTCCCGACAACTTCTTCTTCAGCTTCGTGTTCCAATAGTTTTTCACATCGTTGTCCGTTCGACCAGGAAGTTGCGCCGCAATCAACGACCACCTGAACCATATATGTCAAAATATTAGTAGAAAGGTTTTATGTATACCTTATTCGTTTTATTGTTTCCCAAGAAAGATGTTAACTGTTGTTTCTCATGAAAAAGTCCCAAACTATTCATCATCAAATTTTCAAATTCTGTTTTGTGAGTCTAATTGGTGATTGTATATAGCAAAACAAATTTATTTTAAGAAATATTAAACTTGTCAGAAGTTTAAAACCCTATACTTAGATTTGGTACAGAAAACAAAACTTATGTCTTATTCAGTTTCTTGCTTCCCAAGAAACTTGTCCACAAACTCAGAAAAGGTATTCATCAGTAAGCCAGCATCAAGATTTCAAAACCTTATGAAACAAACCCGCTATTTATGAGTCCGTGTGTAATTGTATATATACCTAGAATAATAAAATTCAAGAAAACCGTAAAACAGTAGTTAATTAGATCTAGTGATCATGCATACCGGTTACCAAGAACAGAGTGAAACTTGACAATGATATGTTCCTCAGTCTCCGAGAACTGGCCGTGTTTCAAATCCGGACGCAAATAGTTCGTCCATCGCAGCCTACAACTCTTCCCGCATCTTTGCAACCCTATTAGAATGCCGATCCATTATATTAGATTACAATGATCACATACAAGAACATTATTACTTGATAAAAGAAAAATTTAAAAGACACGAAAATTACCAGCGTTCTTAGGGATGAGACGCCAATTACGAGTACCATGTTGAGCAATATAAGAAGCCAATTTGTTGTCTTCTTCAGGAGTCCATTGTCCTCTCTTCACATTCTCCTTTTCACAACATGGAATCCGACCCATTTCTTCTTTCTAGTTTTTATCTCTCGATCGATTTGATTACTCTTTAGTTAATTTACCAACAAATGAAAAAAGAAAATTTGGTTAAGAAATGAAAAAGGCTTATAAATCAAAGATTGCCCAAAAGAATTAGAACTGCCAAACTTTGATTTCTTTACTTTCTTGTAATCAAGCCTTTTAAATTGCAAAAGAAGAAAGGAAATGAATGCATATATATAATAAAATTGATTTAACAAAAATGAAAACATAGTAAAAATTAGCATCAAATGTGCATGAATTGATTAAACTCTTTAAAGAATTCAACGCTACAGAGCGTGTGATTCCCTTTGGCCGGTAGGTCACCCACTCAACGCCTGGTCAACTCCTTATACATTCATTTCATTATCAGAATATTCACCCATAAAATAATATTCTTGATATATTTACACTTTAGATTAATTATATAATTCTTCTGATATTCTCTATGCAAACTATAAATTTTTAACATTTTGGTTATGATGGGTAGAATGATTTGTATAACAACTAGGGTTTGAATCATGAATTTAAATTGAACTCTTTTTTATATAATTGTGAATCATATTGAAGTTCTGCAGGAACAGTTTTAAAAAAGTTATGACAATTCTTTTTTCATTTTTGTAAGGGAATGTCTTCGTTAAGTAGGAGAATATCGCGAGACTGTTCGTGTGCATTAGTGATAGCATTCGTGAAAGCACAGAGAATCTTGTAGAAGTACCTTTTTCTTTTGTCTTTTGTCTTTTTTTTTCGCGTACGAACTTGTACCTTTTGTTCTAAGTCACTTATGTACCTTTTGTTCTAAGTCACTTATGTACCTTTTGTTCTAAGTCACTTATGTACCTTTAGATACCTACTTACTGTCATCTTTAATTTTGTTTTAAACTTGTAGTGGTAATCCACCGATACAAACATGAATATTGATCAAAAAGTAAAAACCTGATATCAAAAATAAAATATACAGTAATATTTATGGAATTAGATACAGTAGTACACTTTTTAATATAAAAATTCAACATACAGATAAATATTTTTAGATTTCTAATTCATATATATTTTAATCTTTTTAAATATTGGAAAGTTATGTTTTCGATAAATCCCCCGAGGAATATGGATAATACATTTTTTTTTTCCTCTTTTGTATTTGAACTTTGAATAATCCGGATAATGTGGATTTGGATAATTCGAACATTTCAGATAGACATGAAAATTTGTAGTACTTTGGATAATCCATCCCCCAAAAGCTGTAATTAATTCAACCTTTTAAAATTATTATATCATTTAAAGTTAACAATCTTTTTGACCAAAAAGAAACTTACAATCTTTTCTTTTTTTTTAAATCTGTTTGTATTGACTTAGGAAAAAAAAAACACGACAAAAAAATTGATATAGCATAAGTAGATTTCTTTGGATAGACATTACAGGTTTATCTCTCGAAAAACTTCTGCTTAAATTTTTGTTTTCTTATCATAACCATATCTCTGTGTTTTCTTTATTCACCATCTCCTTGAAATTCCCATGAATTTTTCCAAGTTTGAACTAGTAAGCTCGAGAAGAAGAAGAATAGCCATACTCTGATTTGTTTCGTAAGTAACGACTCCGACCATAACCTAATTCTCTCACAACCGACTCAACCATCCTCCCAGCCACTCCGGTTTCAATACCAATCTCTCGGCCACAACATACCAAAGCAGCTATTCCCATCATCCACATGGCTGCAGCTACCCCAACACCAACCATAGCCGCCACAAGAACCGCTACCATCACCATAAAAACTGGAGCAAATGTCAGCAGCAATGGAGAAGCGATCAGAAACAGAGTCACCGTCGCCACAAAGCTGAAACTCATCAGACCAAAAAGCGGCCCGACCACTGCTACAGCTGCTACGGTTGCAGCCACAACCGAAGAACCAGTCCTCCTTTCTCCATCGGTTATGGCTATGTCTCTTCTTCTTCCTCCATGATTCTCCATACTAGTAGTGTGAAGTTAACAGAGAATTTTGTAGCATTGGCTATATAGAAAGGAAGATGGTGCGCTACTGACACGTGGAAGCCGATAAGCCACCGTTTTACGACACGTGTATAGTCCTATACCCAAAACGCCAAAAACTCTCTTAACATTATCCACAACACTTACGGATTTGAACCGGACTGAAATAACCGAATCGTATCTAAACCAAAACCGAACCAAAATTTAGCATTGAACCAAATTGGTATAAGAAAATTTTGACTCAAACTTGAATGATCCAATTATCTTTTATTGGTAATGATACTAATGAAACAACAAGGAAGCTATCAATGAAACATAAACACCAACAAACACTCAAATTCTGGGATTCATATGTTAATTGTTTTCGTATTTATTTTTCGAATCGTGACTGATAATACAACATCATTGACACATGATTCGATCTAGTATAATAGTTAGCCAAAGAATCGTTTTTTAGTAAATAATGAAAAAGGAAAGATTTTGGTGAAGAGGGCTGCTTAGCTGAAATTTGATTTAGCAACTTGTGGAAGGGATTTGAGAAGAGAAGGCGATGGCCTCCGAAGAGTGTGATTGAGAAGTAGCATCAAAGTGAGAAGTGTTAAAGCTCCTGCTTGGTGTGCACTTCCTAGTGAAACCGGAACATAGCTCAGAAGCGTTGATACACCTAATGTCACCTGCAAAATACGAAAAACTCCATCAATGGTTTTGATTTCAAGTTTCCTTGAAAGTTTATGTTGATTGTTTACCTGAACAGCAGTCATTCCAACAGTACTTCCGATCAAAGCTTTAACGGCTGGATGTATGTCTAGCTTCCTAGTGAACCACCACATTGTTCCAATTGCTATTAGCGTTGTGGTTGCAAGAAGGCGATGATCAAGCTGAAATTTAAGTAAAGTTTCAGTCTTTTTGAGACTCTTGACGCAAATTGAGAAAGCTTTGTGTCAATGGTGTACCTGAACAGTTGCTGTGTTCTCGAAAAAATTGCGTAAAAGTGGTTTCATCTCAAATATATTATCAGGGATCCATGTGTCACCCATTTTTGGGAATGTGTTGAATGCACGACCCTACAATTCACAAGCGGAGAGATCAAAATACTCAGCTTCCTTTCTGTAACTAATATCATAGAAGCTCAGATCCAAGTTTGTTAGTTTACTTACAGCATCATTTCCAGCAACAAATGCTCCTGAAATTGCAGTGATACCAACAATTAAGCTTACTGGTAATGCAAGCTTCTTCACTTTAGCTGCTCCCCGAACCCAAGCCAGTGACTCAGCTGGTGGTTCAGGCATAACAACAGAGAGAGCGGTCCAGAAAAGTCCACAATAAATGGCAAAAGCTGAGGTCAGGTGAGCTGCAAGACGGTATGGGCTTACCCTCGGTTGAGAATATTCAGACGGCGGCTCCTACATACAGGACCAAAAGGACCAAACTGATTACTAGTTACACAATATTCAGCTCATAACAACATCTAATAAGAGGATCTACAACAGTTCCTAATGCTTACCTCTAAACCACTTTTAACCATCCACCAACCAATGAAACCTTGTCCAGCACCAAGCGCAAATAAACCAGAGAGCTGAACTCCAAGACGTAGAGTAATATACCCTTTCCGCAGAAAATAAGAAAACGGCAAAGCAAACATGATTCCCAATCCTCTTCCCCACATTCGATGAGCATACTCCATCCAATATATGAACTTAAAATCTTCAAGATTCATCCCTTTGTTCACACTGCAAACCACCAAATCCCAAAACACAAACAGCATTTTCAAAATCAAGAGTTCGTCCAAAGACAGAAAACGCAAATGCAAGCAACATTTTAGCTACCAAAATCGCAACACTAACCGCTTATATTCAGGAGACTGCTTATATTTCTCAAACTCATTAACCCAAGCTTCATTTGACAGAGGAGGGAATTCACCAGTAAATTTCCAATCAGTCATCGATAAACCAGATCGAGTTAATCGAGTTACTCCGCCTAGTACAACCATGCTGAAAACCCAAGTAGCAGAACCAAAAAGCCATATCCCAACCCATTTCCTAGCTTGAGGTCCTCCAGTGACAAGATGCTTCAAACCCTCTTTACTCTCTGAGCTAATCGAGGCTACAGTTGACATCTTCCTAAACATTGAAGCATTTTGACCCTACACAAAAACATAAACTTGATCAAACCCCAATCTTAGAATCTAAGCAAACAGAGAAATCTCAGAATCAACTAATAGGAATAAAAAAATCTCAACTTTAACATGGACCCTGATCAAAAGTATCATCCTTTGGGAAAGTACCTTGAGAAGAGATCGCAAGCCATAGAAGGAGTTTCCAGCTAGAGAAGAAGACGAAGCAGAGGTTACAGTAGCAGCTGTAATGTTAGAAGTGAAAGCTCGATGAGACGAAGTGGTGAATCCTCGAGCAATTCCATTAAACGCTTCTTTGTTCCTCTTGAGAGCCGATCCCACCGCTCGAAACATCTCTATCTCTCTAGGGTTTTAAGCAAGGTTTCTGCGTTCAGGCGACAAAAAGAACGGCAAATCAAATCTCGTTCTGCAATTTCGACCCGACCCGGCTTTGTTCCGGGTTTGGATTTTGTTGTTGTGGCTATTCGGTAGACACTAACTACTGTGCGGATTAAAAAACTACACGGTGTGTAGAAGGAAAACTGGAAACAACATGTACATGAGAAACCAAATAAATAAATCTCAAACAGTCACAAATCAGTAGAGAATCAGAGTACATACCTTGTCGAGTCCCACATGACCAAGCGAGGTTTAACAAACTTAACAATGGGAAAATGTTTCTCTGGGATGGGACGGACACTCAGACTCCGGCGACCATGGTATTAACGAAACGCCGTCGTTTATAACTTGGGCTGAAATATGGTACATCCTTAGGCCCACTTTCTATAATAGGTCTCAAAACACGAGCTAATGGGCTCTGATGATTTAAATTAAAAAATTCAGATATTTCTTCTACAACCTTTTTTTTTCAAATGCAGTGACTCTTTCTTCTGGAGACCATGTTATGGCTGATCCAGTTACAGAGGTTTTTTTTTTTTTTTTTGTCGATTATCATACATCTCCAGAAATTTTGATACCATATGATTTGTAGATCGTCTTTATTCAAATCATTACGTCGCACTCAAACTCATAATGATTAATGACCATGTATACGCACTTAATTTAAAGGGTATATATATAGCAGTCACCATATCTACTACTAAGCAGTGGCGGAGATAGGGTTATAGCATGGGGTCAATTGACACCCATGGATTTTTTAAACCTAGCTAAATTTTGATTGGTAATTGTAGATTGACCCCATTACAAAATAAAAATTGACCCCCATCAAATTTTAATTTAAGAGCAAACTACTAAATATATATCTATATATATATATACTAAAAAAATGTTATATTAATTTATACTAAATATTAAGCTAAGAGTTAAACTTTACAAATAAATATACAAATAAATCTAAAATAAAAACATGAATGAATTCAACTTCAACCTAATAACTATATCTCTCGTTACTTTAGGATTTTTCCTATTTTCTTCTTTTTATAATCACCATTATCCATTGAAAATCACTTTAAAATAACATTTAGGTAAAATTTTATATATATTTTAATTTGAACTAAAATGTTTTGATGATTTTGTTCGTATATTAAGAAAAATCTCATCTTTTGATTTATTGACTTTTAAAACTATTATTGATTTTTTTTCTATGAATATTGTGAAAACGACTTCGTATAATCGTCTCGTTGATATCATTTCAATGATTGTTTAGTTTTTCAATTGAAAATATAAGCTAAATTGTGGCAAACGAGACAATAATAAATCGATTACAATATATAGTATAGTTGTGATGATATTTTTATTTTTTTTCTAATAAAGTTGATATAATTTTGTATATACAAAAAAAAATTTGATCCCTATAAACAATTTTTTTGGCTCCGCCACTGCTACTAAGTCTACTATAGATTAATTAAAAGATATATTTTGACAGGAAAACTAATTAATCTTACTATAGTACGGTTGATTTTGAAATCTGAAAACAAAACCGCTTCTTTCTTTCATAGGATCGTTTTTAACGTACGTTGAGAACTACGTTTAAATTGGCCATTCATTTCATGCAAGAGGCACTCATCGATATAAATTAAATTAATTTGTGTATCATCAGTCTATTGCAAAACCTATATACTAGTATGTTTTAGTTTGGTGCTTAAATAAAACAGATTTTGTTCCTTATTAAAACAGACTTATTCAGTTTTAAAAATCACATGTTTAGAACAGTAACTTTGATTCGGAAATTATTGCCAGCTCAATTAATAACTGACCGTTTCCAAACATTTTGCGATTTTACATGTCTAAAAATCACACAGTTATGTATAATTGCAATGTTTGTACCGTCAGTGATTGGTAGACATATAATTACATGTCTGAATTGGATGAGTGACCCCAAAGGATTGCCCAACAAAGCATGTGAGTGAATGGAATATCTAATATTTTTAATTTTGATGAATGTTTAGAATTCAACAATATATAATATAAATTTCAACTAGATCATTATTTTTTCCGGCTACCCACCTACTTCACCTTTATTTCTTATATATTATAAGAAAATATGATGCATTTTCGTGGCGACTTAACAATGTTATGAGACATGCCTAAATTACCAACTCGTATAATCGTACAACATTTTTATGAATGATATAACTTTTAACAATTATAAATCGTAGTATTTTCCTTTAGATTCCATTCATGCATAACAGTGAGTTTATGTAATGACAAGCATAAGCATACGCATACGCACACATCACTAATGGAATATTTACACTCGAGCAACGCTAAGATTTATTATGAATTTGTGAAGAAAGATCACTCTTAAATTTGTGATTTTTTGTTGCTTTCGATTTTGTCACAAAATATTGTTAAATGTTCATTTTCCGTTATCTTATAACTATAATACACCTCAGAATTTGTAAATGAAAACACGATAAACAAAACGAAAAGAAAATTAACGTTTGTGTTGCATTGGCATTTACCATTTACAAAAATATGTTTAACACAGATATATGTAACAAAATAAGTAATAATTTTGTGTTTTCTAATTAATTAAGTTTAATCGTAACATTTTAATGTGCGTTAAACTCTAATTATTTTGGTAAATTCATTCAACATGAATCTTTCCACATTAGACTCATAACCAAACCCAATAAATCCATAAATATCGCGATTTTTAGTTGAAGAGTATAGGTTCCTCACCAATTTGTGACTAAAGTAACTTGATCAAGCCATTAGTTACTCTCATTCCTAAGCAATGTGAAAATATTTAACAACATTTTGTCTAAGTTTTACATGGTATTTTTACTATTTTGAGGATAGTTATGATTATAAAGGTCAATTACTAAAAATATGTGAGAACTATTTTGAAACGAGAAATATCATTCATTTTGAACAAAAAGAATAATTCTAAAACATAAACTCTAAACCTAGAGGAAATATTTGTAACCTATATGAATCGAATCAAATAAATAAAATAACAAAATTTATCCAAGAATGGACCCCACATGCGTCAATAAATAACGCCCCTTGCGAGGGTTAAGGCAACACAACAACACAAGCTTTTTCCCAAGTCTTGAAAACAAATTCTAAACTCTATATTCTGTCCTCATAGTGTCGACATGGCTTGCGAAAACAACCTCGTTGTGAAGCAAATCATCGACTTATACAATCAAATCTCAAACCTCGAGAGCTTAAAACCATCCAAGAATGTCGACACTTTGTTCGGACAACTCGTATCCACGTGCTTACCTACAGACACAAACATCGATGTCACGGAGATACACGATGAAAAAGTCAAAGACGCGAGATCTCATCTCATCAAGCTTTGTGGTGAAGCCGAAGGTTATTTAGAGCAACACTTTTCAACAATCTTAAGCTCTTTTGAAGACAACCCACTAAACCATTTACACATTTTTCCCTATTACAACAACTATATCAAGCTAGGAAAACTCGAATTCGATCTCCTAGCACAACACACAACCCATGTCCCGACCAAAGTCGCTTTTATCGGTTCGGGTCCGATGCCACTTACATCCATCGTCTTGGCCAAGTTCCATCTTCCCAACACAACGTTCCACAACTTCGACATCGACTCACACGCCAACACACTCGCTTCAAACCTCGTTTCTCACGATTCTGACCTCTCGAAACGCATGATTTTCCACACAACTGATGTGTTAAACGCTAAGGAAGGGTTAGACCAATACGATGTTATTTTCTTGGCAGCTCTTGTTGGGATGGATAAAGAGTCAAAGGTCAAAGCTATTGAGCATTTGGAGAAGCATATGGCTCCTGGAGCTGTGTTGATGCTAAGAAGTGCTCATGGTCTTAGAGCTTTCTTGTATCCAATCGTTGACTCTTGTGATCTTAAAGGGTTTGAGGTGTTAACCATTTATCATCCGTCCGATGATGTGGTTAATTCGGTGGTCATCGCACGTAAGCTTGGTGGGTCAAATGGAGCTCGAGGCAGCCAGATCGGACGGTGTGTGGTTATGCCATGTAACTGCTCTAAGGTCCACGCGATCATGAACAATCGTGGTATGGAGAAGAATTTGATCGAGGAGTTTAGTGCCATCGAGTAAACAAGTAACTACATAACACATCTCTTTTCTTAAGATTATATGTGTTTATGTTTTGCTCTTTTCAATTTTATGCCTATGTATTGTGATGCGTGTGGTTTGTGTGTTAAGTATAATAAGTTTGTGAATTTTGTGAGTTCTTTGATCTTCATCTGTGTGAAGATATGGAACCCTGTTGTATTCAACTTAAGCTTCCACCTATATTGATACTTCATGAAGGTTTTGTTGGTGATTGATATTTGGGGTGTGAAGGTTTTGTTATCATCACTAAACAAACACAAATTTGATTTACAATTATCCTTAAAATACGAATATATAGTCGAGTCTCATTCATTATGATCATGTTGATTGTTGTAAGTTGTAAATGTTTTGAGAGGCCAAGAAATGAAATTTCAGATTTTAGCTAACTAGAATTTATATTCTGAGACGACGGTCTGAATTCAAAGCAGAAAAACTGTAGACTGAAATCTCTTGGTAAAGAAAATTTAATATATGGAAAACGTCAAACATGCATCACAATACATGAAAAAATCAAATACTATAATTATTAGCATCATAGTGATAAGTAAATTGTACTCTTTTCCAAAAACTTTTAGGTATTCAAATTAGTAAAAGAACTGTTTTGTAAACATGAAAGTAGAAGATTTCCCGATAGGGAAGCTAGAGTCACTATAACCTCCACTTCCTCTCTTGTTGGAATAACCAGGATATTGACTTAAGCAAAACTCGATCTCACGGATCAAATCTAAACCTTCTTTCTCACCCAAAGTCTTTAGCTTCCACTCGCTAAATGGATATTCTGTCTTATGAATCACATGAATCTCTCCTCCCTTGTCTTCATCTTTCACCATCACTCTTGCACTCTTCATAAACCCTCTTACAAGCTCTTGATGCCTCCTAAATCACACAGTAGATGCAACCAATTGAAAAAAAAAGAAGTAATGTTTTTAAACCCCAAAACTAAATATAAATTAGAAACATACATGATGGTTTTGATTTCGTGTTCACGACCATAGTCGAACCCTGCGTGAGGGAAATTGAAGATGACTCTGTCATATATCGCGGAACCACCAACGCTAGGCTTTGTGGTCATGGAGTGGACGTTAACTCCATATACCACGCTGCACCCGAGTCTTTCCAGCTCTTCTACGTTCGACTTCCCATTCTTAAACTTACGCTCTAGCTCCCCTACAACATTCGTTATTGTTTTTTTTTTGGATGTAAATTTTAAAATATTGCAAGAAAATTTACCTCTATTTTATATAGAAATTTAAATAGATCAACCATTAATTAAATATAATTCAGATTTTTATAATTTTTAGATTTTGATTTACCTTGAGTATCGAGAGAGGTCGCGGTGAGATTAGTTGCAGAACCAAAGGCTCTAGCTAGAGACAGAGAAAAAGAGAAGTCTCCTTCTCCGACCAAAAGTATTTTTTGTTTGTTAGTGTAATGTCTTAACCTTTTAGTAACCTGGACCTCCATTTCACCTGAGCATTCGTTTGCCTCTCACACCATGTATATATATCTGCTTATAAACTGCTTAAATGTTTGGTTTTGTTTGTTTACTAGCTATATTCATTTGGCTCTTCGAACTTTGTGGGTATTTATGTAATTCGAAAAGCATTCATTATTCTGTTCATACACTCTTAAGAGTACAAGAACTAAAAGCTTCTAGACCAGAGTCTTTATTTTCAATTCCCTAGTTGGCTCATTTATTTTCAATGTAAAGAACGACCAATATTCTAGCTTCAAGTATATCGATGCCAATTAGCATGAGGCGGTATTAAATTATAGTATATTTTTACCATTCAATTAATATATACAATTGACTAGGAACTGATCAATTAATAGAACAAAATAGTATAGTACTATGATTGTTTATTCAAGCTGTAACGGCAAAAAAAAAAACTTCCAATCTTTAGTACTACTAAACATATTATCTTCGTCACCATTCACTAACAACATTAATACAAACTTAAGATTCATATCTTCGTCATAAAATAAAGTTATCCACAATACAAAGCCCACTTAAAAATATGTTTAGCCGAAGATTTTCTGAAACATGAAAGTAGAAGATTTTCCAATAGGGAAGCTAGAGTCACAGTGACGTCCACTTCCTCTCTTATTTGAGTAACCAGAAAACATAATTTGTTAAATTCCACCTCCCGGATCAAACACAAACCCTTTTCTTCAGCTAGAGTCTCGATCTCCAACTCGTTAAATGGATGAGCCGTCTTATGAGTCACATGAATCTCTCCATCTTTTTCGCGCTCTCTAGAAATCTTCTCACTAATTCTTGGTGTAACCTGTGAACATGCATATACATTTTTCAATACACAAATAAACCCAAAAAATGAGCTAAAAATATGTTTAAATATCATTACATGATGTAGGATCTCTGGTGCTCACGGCCAAAACCAAACCCTGCATGAGGGTAATTAAAGATGATTCTATCAAAAAGCTCTGATCGCCGATCTCAAGCTTATGCCCTTTGGTCATGGAGTGAACGTTAACGCCATGGACAACGGTGCAACCGAGTCTCTCCAACTCTTCTACGTTAGCTTTCACATTCCTATATTTCAGCTGTAGTTCTGCTACAATATTTGTATTTCAAACAATATTAATCACGAAAATCATATGAAATATCGTTTCTTCGATCCCAATAACAAACACAACCCAAATTTTCAACCCTAATTGGAGTATATATGTCAAGAAACCCCTCCTATCCCAAAATCTAAGATCGCTAGATCAAAACACTTATAACTTAAATCAATTATGATTTTAGATTTTGATTTACCTCAAGTATCGAGAGAGATCGCAGTAAGGTTTATTGCAGAACCAAAGGCTCTAGCTAAAGCTAGAGAATTTTTTTTTTTTTTTTTGTATTCTCTTAACTTTTTAGTTTTTATTTTATCTCAATGCATTTTCATTATTCTTACAATGTCGTTATATATAGACATAAAGACATACATTATAAATCAAATATGAATGTTTTAGTTAAATTAAAGAGACTGGTGTTAATTAAATGTTTGGTTAATCCGTCTCTTCGGACTGTGTGATAATTTATGTATTTCGTAAAGCATTCAATATTTCTATTCATGCACCATTTTGACGACAAGAATCATACTCTCTTTTGTTTTCAATTGGGTACCAATTGGGTTCCGGTCGATAGAAAAATCCCAACATTAGTTAATTTAAAATGATCACTACAAAAAGAGTGGTTTCAACACTCCGTTTAAATATGTTTCGCTGAAATTAAAAGAGCCGGCCGGGTAGAGTCACTTTCTTAAACATGAAAGTAGAAGATTCTCCAACAGGGAAGCTAGAGTCACTGTCAATTCCACTCCCTCTCTTGTTGGAGTAGTCAGGATATTGCCACCTATCAAACTCCATCTCTCTATAACAATTCAAACCTGCTTCTGTACCCAGAGTTTTTATACCCCAGTTGGCAAATGGATATGCCGTCTTATGAGTCACATGAATCTCTCCATCGTCATTTTTAACCATCTCTTTAGCACTCCTCAAAAATCCTCTCACCACTTCTTGGTGTTGCCTGTACGTGTCATCATACACATACATTTGTTTAGTACACAATAAAACATTTACAAATATATATAGGTACCCAAAAAAAATGTTGACATACAAGATGGTGGAGATATTATGCTCGCGACGAAAACAATGAAACCCAGCATGAGGAAAATTAAAAATTATTCTATCATATAGACTCCATCTGACGACGCGATAATTTGTGTTCATGGAGTGCACATTAACACCGTGGACCACAGTGCATCCAAGTCTCTCCAGCTCTTCTACATTATACTTCGCATCCTTGTACTTAATCTCTAACTCATCTACAAGTCAACAAGCTAAGTAAGATTGAATTAACCACAAATTTACGTGTATACTAAATGATATATAGATAATCAGATGCATATCCATACGTTGATACTACAAATGATATATTATCTATCTACCTCGAGTATCAAGAGAAGTTGCAGTGATGTTAGTAGCTGAACCAAAGGCTCTGGCTAGACATAAAGAAAAGGAGAAATCGCCTTCTCCGACCAGAAGTATTTGCTGTTTATTATTGTAATGACTACAGCATAAAGTTTGTGAAACCTCCATCGCGTCTTCATGCATTTGCTGCTTTCACCATGCATATTATATATATATATATATATATATATATATATATATATATATATATATATATATAGTTTATAAACGGATATGAATGCATGGGTCAAAGAGTTTTTCTCTTTGTTAATTTGGCTCTTCGAACTTTGTGAGTAGTTATTTGCTTTCAACGAGCATTCACTACTCTCATTCATCTGCCATATATACATCTTTACGAAGACATAGTTTCAAATTTCTTTATTGACCAGCGTCTTTAAGTATGATTAACATGTGAATAAAGCATAAGAATATAAGGACATTGTGAATGTTTGTTTTTTTACCGAATTTAATTTACACTTCTTAACTTAGTTAACATTTTTACGTATTGATTCTTTCCTCTACAAAAATTCTCAATAAGTATTAATAAATTAAAAAATTATAGAAACGATGACCCAAAATTTCAGTTAAAACAGTAATTTTAAGTTTTGTAATTACTATGGAATAGTATTTACTGCGTCTAAAATTTTATACTATCATATTTTTGAAATTCAAGAAGTAAAAAATGAATAAAATGTAATCAATATATATTGATTTATGGTGAAAGGAAAAAAAGCTTTATTTAGATAAAAAAGCTTTTCCATAGTCATCAGTTACTCTTGTGGTATTCACAAAATTTAATTAGATAATAAAGTTTTTAATTTGATCTGGTTCTTGTAAATATGTGCTTCATCAGGAGTCATCTTTACATGAATTAATTAATGGTTCAAACCCATAAATACCTCTGTCGATTTGATTTTGCATGTGATTAATTAGTTTTGATTTTCGATATTAATATATCATCCCTATCTTAAATCATCCAATGGCTTAATTAGCTTTGATTTTCGACACTTATGTTATTAACATGTGTTGTTTGTAGTCATGACAAAGATCAGCACCAGAAGGTACACAATTCGATACAGTTGGTCGTCGTCTTCGTTCTAGATACAAATAGGGCCACTTGATTAGAGTCTAATTCCCTTCTACTCAGCCACAGTCTTTCTGAAACCTTGATTAGTCTTTGCCGGAACGGATTGAAGGTGGAGTCGGATGTTGGGGAAAACGGTGTCGACGACGATTGGATCTGAGGGTTCGATTTGTAACCTTTTTTCTTGCTAAGTAGGGGAGTTAAAGGGTTAGGGAATGTGTCTATAAGTCAACTATTCTGGAAAGGATGTTTTGGGTCTGGTTTGCTTCGGCGACAGGAACAAGTAACTCCGGTCAATATTCTCGACGTCGGAATGTTACCGCAAAGGAGTCGCCTTTGTTACCGCCGGAGTTAATCGTTTGACCTTGTGTTCTCATCACCCGTAGCTTTTCAGATCTCATCTTCAATCTCATCTTCAATCATTCTCATGTAGCTTAAATAATTATAGGGATGACAAACACATTTTAGTTGATCGGAGGCTAATTTGCGGAACAGTATATATATACCAAAGATATAGCTTTCGGATTCATATCTAAGTGAGGGCCGGTATACGGCTTTATTGCATTCAAGAATCAAGTGTGGATTCTAAAAATTATATGTCAATGCAACAAGTATTAGGTCTTAACTAAGAAATATTCCAAAGATAGCACAAACTTTTTGTTTGGACTTTAGAGGTTCCTAAGAATTTAGGGAGAATTCGTAAATCACTTAGGAACTTTGGTATATTGAAGTTTTAGAATCTTACTGGTAGCTTAGCTTTTGAAATTTCTTTTATTATATATCAAGGTTGTGAACTTAAAAGCCAAATCACCAAAGTAAAGTGTACCACGTATTTTATATGTAAAATGTCTCTCTATAAGCAAATCGAATGCAATCAAATGTACTTTTTTGAAGATCAAAATCATATAATTGAAATATTTTACCATATAAAATATTTTCAAATCAAATGCAATCAAATGTACCTTTTTGACTACAATTATTATAGTTTTTATTATAAATAAAACTAATAAAATATATTGATAAAAATCAAACAAAAATAAGCAAAATTTAAGCAAAAAATAAGCGAAACATAAGCAAAAACTCGCGATCTTATTATGTGAAATTTGATTTTCAAACTTAGTAATTTAATAACTTAGATCTGTCTCAACAAGAAAACTATATTAGTTCTAGCCTAGTCTTGCCGGTTCTTTGTAAAAACGGTAAAACACCTTGTTTTCTTTACAAGAGTACTAAACTGTACATGTAAACTATATAGTCACCAGATTGTTTTCTTTAATTTTGTTACTTTAAATTTTCACAATAAAAAAACACCATTTATACTTTCTTTAGCAACAAATATATTTTTAAAATATATAATATGTGTAATACGGTAATACCTTTCACTCATTTTCTTCGTCTTTTAATTCTTTCCATATTCTTGTTAACTAGATTCTCAGCTTTTTTTTCCTTTCCATAAGCTTCATGTTGTCTATTATTTTTCTTTTTATGATCATGCTAATTTTTCTATCATACTTATTTTATTAACTCTTATTAAGGTATTACGTAACCATGAAAATTTCT